ATAGTACAGTGGCATTAAGTGCCGAAATGTGCACCTCTGCCTACCCCTTCGGGGATAAAAATGCGTGATGTTATGTTATGTCTATAGTAATAGTCTATCCATTACGTACAACTAATATAAAACACGACAACAGCACTCTATGCTTTGGTCTAATCTTTTAGTAACACCTTTTTTACTCAACCCTAAAACCATATAACCATCGATAGTTCGCAGTTCGCACATCGCGTGCAAGTCATGATTGCTTTTCTTTTAATGCCAAGTACAAGTTTATCTGTTATTACAATCGCTTCTGAAGCCGCTGGTAAATTAGGCAGTCGTAAAAGAAATTGAACACTTTCCGAACAATAATGTTGAAGAAAAACGTAGGTAAGGTAAACGTAGGTGAAGCTATTGTGTGATTATTTTTGCACGTTTCGGTGTAGGGTTTAGTTGACCGCTATGTGGAGTGTACACGATTAGAAGCGTGGCTCTGAAGAAAATAAATGTATAATACAATGGGACAAATAATTATAGTATGTTCTGTCAAGTTTATTATTTTAAAACTGTACAAGGAATTAATGAATTTATAAAGCATCTCAGTTTAAAATAAACAATTTTTTCTATAGATGGTTGAATTGTTCATGACAAAAACTACTAGTTATTCCGGGAAAAATTAACATGTGCCTCTCTGTTCATAGAATAAAACATCTATGTATTAGTTTCACCAAAGCACAATCTGTTATAAAAATATTTTGTCATGCAATTCCTAACTTCATTTTCAATAACATTTCCAATAAAAAGATGGCGTACATTTTTTAACGGCTCCAAAATTCGACAATATTGACGCGCGACTAAAATGAAAATTTAATAGTATTGGTACCTCCTCGTAGCTTTACACGAACACCGTCCGAAATTCTATTTAGGTCATTTAAAAATATTCGTTCGTTTCATTCGTATTTATCGAAGCTTAAATAAAAGGCGTATATTTCAATAAACGATATAGCAACCACTTCGACCTATCCGTAGAATAAAGTTACTTTTGCATAATTGTTACTTTAGAGGAGAGCGATTTGAAATTTGCCAAGGACGAAATCGGACATAATTTTTTTTTTATTTGTTCTAGTTGATTAATTATTTGTCTAAGCACGTAAAATACTATTTAGCATTGTTTTTCATAAGAATATGAGATTAAAAAACAGTTATTTGGCAATTTTGAGTGTTTATGTTCATATGTGACGATTTAATATGGAAATGCCTGCGTCTTATGCACACATATAACCTTGTTTTTGGTAAAACTGATAGTATCTTGTGTACGTGTAACTTTGTTTTATGTACATACGTATTGTGTTCTAAGTTATATGTGATAACATGTGGAAAATATGCTAATAAAAACAAAATTTTAAATAAACATTTATTTTTTAGAATGTAGCCATATAACTATACTATAGTTACATAATTATAGTTTCTTATTATAATTAGAAAAATACCCGTTTTATTTAGGAACTAGATAAAAAAAAAATCAATAAAGAGTATAAAATTTTATAAACAATTAACAAAGTAGGCAGTAAACCTAATTTTACCTTACAGATTAAATTACCGTACAGAGGAACCATGGATAACCAAAAAAGTACT